CTGTCGCCCAGACTGGAATGCAGTAGCATGTTCCGGCCACTGCAGCCTTGACCTGCTGGGCTCTGGTGATCCTTCCACCTCAGTCTTCCAAGTAGTCAGAACTACAGGCGCGCACTACCACACCTGGCTGATTTTTTGATTTATTGTAGAGACAAAGTCTTGCCAAGTTCCCTGGGTGGGTCTCGCACCCACGGGCTCAGACTATCCTCTTGCCTCGACCTCCCAAAGGGCTGGGATTACAGGCTAAGCCACTGAGCCCGGCCTCCACTTGATATTCTTAAAATATGTTCGATGGGGCTGGGCTTGGTGGCTCAGCCTGTAATCCCAGCACTTTGGGAGGCCGAGTTCAGTGGATTGCCTGAGCCCACGGGTTCGAGACCAGCCTGGGCAACTTGGTGAGACCACGTCTCTACAATAAATCAAAGATTAGCCGGGCATGGATAGTGCGCGCCTGCAGTCCCGGTTACTTGGAAGTCTGAGGTGGAAGGATCACCTGAGCCCAGCAGGTTTATGTTGGGGTGGCTATGAGCATGCCACTGTATTCCAGCCTGGGCAACAGAGTGAGATTCTGACTAAAAAATATATATATATATGTTTGATGACTGAAAATAAAACATACTGCCTTGTCTGATGGGGTTATCAATGTATGTGCATGTAACACATAAGACAATGTCAAGATGGGGAAGGAGGATAAAAGGTCTACAGGCAGTAAAGTTTTTACATTCCATGTGAAACAGTAAAACAATGATTCTAAATTGGGACAAGTGTATTTACTGTAGGACCTAGAACTACAACTACAAAAATGATACAAAGATAAGATATATAATTTTTAAAAATAAATTAAAACATAATACTAAAAATGTTCAAATTATCAAAAAGAAGAAACAGAGAAATAAGGACTAGAATAACACAATAAAATAGTGTACATAAATCCAAACATAGTGATACATATATATATATATATATATATATATATATATTTATTTTTGAGTCAGAGTCACTCTGCCACTGGAGTACAGTGGCACTCTCACAGCCGCTGCAGCTTCTACTTTCTGCCTCAGACTCACTTCCGCCTCAGCCTTCCAAGTAGGTGGAATCACAGGCACCAGTCACCATGCCCGGTTAATTTTTTATGTATTGTAGAGACAAGGACTTGCCAAGTTGCCCAGGGTGGTCTTGAACCCCTGGGCTCAGGCAATCCTCTTGCCTCCACCTCCCAAAGTGCTGGGATGACAGGCATGAGTCACTGCACCTGGCAATACTTTTATTAAATGTAAATGGTCTAAAAATATGCTATTAAAAGACATTTTTTCAGAATATATTTTTTAAAACCCCATTTAACTATATACTATCTACAAGAAACTCATATCAAATATAATGATACAAATAGATTAAAAGCATAAGGATGAAAAAAGAGAAATCATGTAAAACCAATGAAAAGAAGGCTGGGGCTGAGCACAGTGGCTCATGCCTATAATCCCAACAATTCTGAAGGCTGAAGTGAGAGGACTGTTTGAGTCCCAGAGTTCAAGGCCAGCCTGGGCAACACAGAGAGACCTTGTCTCTACAAAAAAAAAAAAGAAGGAAAGAAAGAAAGAAAGCTGGATCTCCAAAGATGTGGCACAGAGAAAAATTTTAAAAAAGAAAGAAGCCGGGCTTGGTGGCTCAGCCTGTAATCCCACGCCTTTGGGAGGCTGAGGTGAGTGGATTGCCTGAGCCCACAGTCGAGACCTGCCTGGGCAGCAAGACCTCATCTCTACAATAAATCAAAAAATCAGCCGGGCGTGGTAGCGCATGCCTGTAATTCCAGCTACTCAGAAGGCTGAGGCGGAAGGATCGCCAGAGCCCAGCAGGCGAGGCTGCGGTGGCCGGGAGCGGCCACTGCACTCTAGTCTGGGTGACCGAGACTCCAACTCAAAAATAAATAAATAAATAAATAAATAAGAAAGAAAGAAAGCTGGAGCAGCAATATGAATATCAGACAAAGGAATAAAGAAGGACATTATATAAAGATAGGTCAATTCAGCAAGAAGACATAATCATCCTAAATGTGTATGTACCTAACAGAGTTGCAAAATACATAAAGCAAAAATTAACAGAAATGAAAAGAGAAATGGACAAATCTACAATTACAACTGGAGACTTCAACACTTTTCTCTCTTAGTAACAGAACAAGTAGGTGGAAAAAGCAGCTGTGATACAGAAGAACTGAATAATATGCTACTAGTCAACTAACTCTGACTTTTATAGAACAATACAGTCACCAAAAGCAAAATTTATATTCTTTCAGGTGCACATGGAACATTCACCAAGGCAGACAATATCCTGGCTCTAAAATAAACCTCAACAAATTTAAAAGAATTGAAACTGAAAGGAGGGACCCTGAGACACTTAGAATAAACTTAGTTCACACTTGCCTCAGCATAGTCATTTTTGCTTAGTTGAAACTCTTTGAATCTAGCACAGGTTAGACAAATACATAAATTTCCAACAGGCAGGTTTTAGGAAGCATTCAGATATTTTACTGCAGGCCAAGCTGACAGCCTAGCCTAACCCCTCGGCAAATCTCCATTGGATGCAAGACAAGGAGAGCCCAACCTTTCAGTTCATGGTTTGACATAATAACCTCTAACAAACTTTCGGGCCCCTTAGCTGACTGAAGCCATGGAAATGATGATAGACCACCTTTTTGCTAAGGAGTTTGTGGACTGCAAATGTCTCTTGCAGGAAAAACCCCTCTCCTCGTCTCTTCCCATTTAGCCCACCACCCAAGCACAAGTTGCCAATGTCTGGTGATGTCAAGATCTAAGACTTACGTGGCTGCAATCAACATCAAAGACCCCGCAGCCTTGGACATTCCTTTTGGCCCAGACCCCTCTGGGCCGAAACCCTCCTTAAACCCCAAAGGTCCTTAAATATACTCAGTTCTTGGCCCTTCAATGCCACACTTGCCTCTGGGTGTTGGCCTCCTTTCCAACCTGTGAAAGGTGAATAATAAACTTTACTTCCTTCTACTTCTTATTTGGTTGCAATCTTGCATCATTCCCACGGTACCGGCACTGGCCCACCGCCTCAGCTTACCCTTTCAGAAACCACATAAAATATGTTCTCTGACCATAATGGAACTAGACTAGAACTCAATAACAGAAAGACACAAGAAAATCTCCACCCCTTGGAAATTAAACAATATACTAATAAATAATCAATGAGTTGAAGGGAAAGTCCTAAGGAAAACTAAAAAATAATTTGAGCTGAATGAAAATGAAAATACACAAAAAATAATGGAATGCAGCTAAAGAAGTACACAGAGGGAAATTTATAGTATTAAATGCTAATATTAGAAAAGAAGAAAGGTCTCAAATTCTAAGCATTTGCCTTAAGAATCTAGGGGAAAAAAGCAAAATACGTGCAAAGTAACCAGAAGAAAGAGGTCGATAAAGGAGAAATTGATGAAATTAAACAGAAAAAAAATAGAAAAAAAATCCATGAAACCAAAAACTATTAGGGAAGGAAATATTTCACAATTCATTTTATGAGACCTGAATTACTCTGATACCAAAATTAGAGACAGTGCCAAAAACAAACAAAAAAACCCAAACCAACCAAACAAAAACCTGGGTGGAGCCCAAGAATGCTTATTCCTCAAAAGCTGGAGGGCCTTAGGCTCTAAGACTATGACTATGACTAAGACCATGATTTCAAAGGTGGCTTCATGGCATGGGCCTAATGCAGAGCCCTGGCCCATCGTGACAGATATTGACCAGAGCTATGTGGAACGCAACTGAGCTCAATGGTTGTTTGTGACAGTCTGATAAGGCTGAAGGGGCAACTCTATGTCACACTAATTGCAAGTTAAGTATCATTACCAACTATTTTTTGCCTGGAGAATACTATATATCCACTGTACATCCTGGCTATAAAATAAACCTTAACAAATTAAAAAGAATTGAAACCATATAAACTTTGTCCTCTGACCATAATGGAATTAGACTAGAACTCAATAACACAAGAAAATCTCCAACCCTTGGAAATTAAACAATAATCCAGGAAACACAATGTGAGAGCTAAAAGTTAAACACGACACCAGGCTGCAGATTTTAAAGACTCAAGCAAGAGGCTGCGGGGCTCAGTGGTGTAAATTGGGTGCTAGATCCAGGAAACCTATTGAGGGTTATATTCCTGTGCAAGATCTAACCTCTCTAGGCCTCAGGTTCCTCTCCAGGAAGATCATGACTACCATCCCTGTATGGGGAAGAAACACGAGAAACTGGCAGACTCGTTCACCAACCTGGGCTGTCATTTCATGAAAGCGCTGCTTTACACATAGTAAGTGTTTAGGTATTTGCCCAACTAACAAATAGTGACATAACCAAAGCACAATGCTGCCAAAATTCATGAATACGCCGTTAAAACTTTGGAACGAAGATACCTAAACTACTTAAAAATTAAGTAGCTCATGCCTATAATCCCAACACTTTGGGAGGCCAAGGCAGGAGGACCACTTCAGCCTAGAAGTTCAAGACCAGCCTGGGCAACACAGTAAGACCCCATCGCTACAAAAACTAAACAAACTAAATTACTTCAAAACCAGGTCGTTTAGGTATAATATAAAAAAGCAGGAGAAAACCATTAATCATCAGCCTGAACCAGTGGGTAGTTGTCGCTCCGAGGCAAGCTGCAGGAGACATAAGAAAACCAATTTCAGATCATCAGAAAGATTTCCAGGATTTCATTTTGGCCTTAACCTACTTTTCAACTTTCTCTACGACATTAACCCCTTTGTCAAAGCCTCACATCTACTAAGTATGTCTTGTATGTGATCTCTGTACTTTCTATCCCTTAACTAGCATGCCATCATGACTATTTCTTTTTTGAGTCGAGGTCTCACTCTGTTGCCCAGGCTGGAGTGCAGTGGCATGATCAGGGCTCGCTGCAGCCTCAACCTCTGAGGCTCAGGTGATCCTGCCGCCTCAGCCTCCCAAGTAGCCGGGACTACAGGGATGCACCACCATACTCAGCTAACTTTTTTGTAGAGATGAGGTCTTGCTATGTTGCCTAGGCTGGTCTTGAAGCAGTCCTCCTGCCTCAGCCTCCCAAAGGCCTGGGATTACAGGTTTGGGCCACTGGGCTTAGCCTTCTGCAATTCTGCCCTGTCCTCTAAAGTCGGAGAAACATAACATCCTCCACAAAGACTTGTGCACAAGCCCCAGCCTCTGCAGCCCCAAGGAGCTCCATCTACATACCGCCTCCACCTTACTACGCCAACCAGACAAGCGGAGACTGTGTGTTCCCTTGGCCCTGCACACACTGTGCACACCCAGCACAGATTACAGTTGTGTCCCACCTGTGGACTGCCTGATCAAGGGAGAGATGCGGCCACAATTCAAGCTCACAGAAAAGGCAGAGAAAGGGCTACTTGGATGCGCTGATAACAAAACCCAAACTGAGGGGCCCAGTGATCCCTCCTCCCTCTCCTCTTAGTAGGGACTAGCACCTTACTTTCCTAGCTCCCTCAGCCCAAGGGTTCTTGAGTTCAGATGCATAAGGACCAGCTGGGGAAAGAAAGAGAAATGCAGTCTCCTGGCCCCAAACAGATTCCAGGTCAGTACACTGGGCTGAGCCTTGGAGGCTACTTTTCTTTTTTTAAACATTCACCTCCCCCTGGCCATAAATCAGATGTGAGTGATTTAAAGATTTTTTGAGAAACATCATACAAGCAAAAGTGACCAGAATTCAGAGGAACAACAAGGCATAAAGTAACATACAACAGATGCAATTCCTGAGGGAGGGGAGGGGGTGGACAGTGCTCGGGACCCACCCTGGCCATGGCCCATGAGGAATGGTGCCAACAGTGGCTGAGACCGCGGGCTTGATTCCAGGAACTAAGTGAAAGGGAGGACAAGCAATGCGAAGGAGATGCTGAGGACCCTCGCACCTTCTGGAAAGGGATGCAACCCCATTCGCATGTCCTACAACTGGGTATTACAATCCAGCTGATTCAAGAAGCCAATTCAAGGGCTATAAAGACCAGGAAAAAAAAGAACATTAAAAAAAAGAAAGCTGGAATTATAAGATGTAACATTTTTAAATTAATTAATTAATTTAGAGTTGATGTCTCATTCTGTCGCTCAGGCAGGAGTGCAGTGGCACGCTCATGGCCACCGCAGCCTCATCCTGCTGGGTTCAGGTGATCCTTCCATCTCAGCCTTCTAAGTAGCTGGGACTACAGGCACGCACCACCATGCCTGGCTAACTTTTTGATTTATTGTAGAGATGAGGTCTCACCAAGTTGCCCAGGCTGGTCTCGAACCCCTGGGCTCAGGCAAACCTCTCGCCTAGTTGTTACATTTTTAAAGGCACCTAAGTCTGTACCCACTTAGCAGTGCACACTAGGCCATCTGCAGGGAAAGGCAGGTCCAGTGATGGGACAAGACTACAGCCTCTCCTGCCGTGTTTCCCACCCTCCAGACATGTGGCGCAGCGGCTGTTGGTCATCTGTCTCCAAAGTCGCATGCCAGCCACTGTTCTAGGCTTGCACCCAAGTGTTGGGTATTACTGGCAACTGTCAGATTCTAAAAACGTGGTCTGTAAAGGGTAACTCATTTCACTAGGACTCTCTTAGGGGACTTGGGAAGAGCATCCAGGTCTCCCTACCTTAAATTAATATGAATTCTCTGTGCAACCACATTTCTGCATATTCTTGGAACTGTAACCAACCCCAAATTACTTTTTATGAGTAATCACAATCTGTTGCCTCAAAATGGTAATTAAAAAACAGCCCGGGCTGGGTTCAATGGCTCAGCCTGTCATCCCAGCACTTTGGGAGGCTGAGGCGAGTGGATTGCCTGAGCTCGCAGATTTGAGACCAGCCTGGGCAATTAGGCAAGACCTTATCTCTACAATAGATTTAAAAAAAAATTTAGTCAGGTGTGGTATCGCGTGCCTGTAGTACCAGCTACTTGGAAGGCTGAGATAGAAGGATCACTGGAGCCCAGCAGGTCGAGGCTGCAGTGGCTGTGAGTGTGCTACTGCACTCTAGCCTGGGCAACAAAGTGAGACTCCAACTAAAAAAAAAACAAAAAAAACCCACACTCAATTTCCTAACATGTTTTGGAATCCTCTTACACAGAAATGTATAAAATAACTTAGTGGTAACAGATACCTGGTCAAACAGGTAGACTGTGACATCATCAAAAAATGTCACCGCCTTCTTTTCTTTCTTCCAGCGGTCAGGTAGCTCATCAGTGGCCCCAACTGCCGAGGGTTTCAACAGACTCCGCAAGTGCCTCCCATCCTCACTGCTGAGGATCACGGGCACAGGGTGCTCAGTCTCGTCCTCTGACTCAGAGCTGAGGCTGTGCAGGTTGAAGGCCCTCAGGTCCTCGTCAGAGTCGTCGCTGTTTTCGTCCTCCTCATCTGCATCGATCCCGTCCTCAGAGAGGTCAAGCATCCCCGACACACTGAGTTTCCCCAAGTACTTCCCTTCGATATCTGGCTCCTTCAATTTGGGGCCCTCGGAGTGGCTGGATAAGGATTTGTCCACTGCAGAATTTGCATATGCAAGAAGTTCATTCGTGTTCGTTCCAGTGGAAGCGAGGGTGCAGGGGCGATCCTCTTGTGTCTCGAAGTCCTCACCACTGCTAAGTTCTGAATTCAGCAAGCTCAAGGGACTGCCTGCCTCATCTTCCGTAGGGTGTATCTGTTTGGAAACATCAGCCTGTGCTGGCTCCGATGTTTCTCTTAATTCCAGTTGACTGGAATTTTGCAAAGCAGATAGACAACTTTGATCTGGCTGGCTCTTTCTGGCTTCCAGGCAACTATCTTTGGCACTGAGACTTTGCTCTGGGATGACTGGCTCGGGCAAGGACTGACCCTGTACCAACACCAAGGCTGATGTGGAGGTTCCTGGGACCTCCTCGGGCTTTTTATCAGGCTCAGAGTCGTTATCTGAGAAGTATGCAGAGTCTCGATATGAACTTTGGGAGCCAGAAGCAAATGTCTGTGGGCTCGCTGTCACTTCTGTCCCTCTGTGACTGTCACCTGCATCTGAGATGATGATGACTGGGTTGGGAGATAAACCGCTGTGACCGCCATTACCTGCAGTGGCCTGTTCTGAGTCTGAGGTACCCTCGGAAGCAGGGTGCAAAGTCCACTCGGGAGACTCCAAATTCTCTGTTTCGTAGCCACTGTCTGCTGGCTTATCCGGGGGCAAGAGTTTCTGAGGAGCGTGAGAACCTATAGAATCCAGTAACACTTCATGGACATCCACTGAGTCCAAAGAGTCTGGAGTTTCCAGGGACTGTTCTGAGGTTGGAAAGGGCGCTGACAAGCTATCTTCTAAAAGGCTATCTTGACTGGTAGAATCTGAAGAAAGGGCAGACACCAAGCCTGTTTCTTTTGTAGCATCCTTATAACTGAGCTGATTTATAGTCTCCACAGCTTCCAAGTTTTTCTCTAGCAAACTATTATTGTGATGGTTTTCAGAAGCTGGTTTGTTTTGTAAGTTCTGTCCCAATTCTGGAAGACTATTCCCTAAACTCACCCTACTAGACATAACATCATCAAGAACCGAGTCACTTTTGGTCAGTCTTAAGGTCTCCTCACTAAGGTGAAGAGAGTCCTGGGTCCCGTCGCTGACACCATGTGTCTTGGCATCAGTCGAGAGAATTTCAATAGAGACAGTCACAGTGTCTGAATGGATGTCCTGGCAGAGACAGTCTTCAGGGACACGGACATCTGAACATGTGGGTTTGGTTTCTCCCTGTTTCGGGAACGAATCTGGAGGTACACTGTGAGGTGCTGCTTCTGTTTCGAGTGAGGTAGGAAGTACCTGCACTTCCGGGGAAGACTGTAAGAAGGTGCTCAGAGTGTTGCTTGTGAGCATGACATCTGTATCTTTACCCTTTGTGCTTACATTTTCCTGTAACAAAGAAAAACTTGGTTTATTTTCAGGAATTGTAAGCTCAGTATCTAAGGAGTTTCTACGTGACGTTTCTAATATAGTTTCGGTAAAACCAGCATTCTTCAGTTCTGTTTGAAGATCATTTACATGGTCTTTGCTGGACAGTGAGCCTTTTAGTAAGTTTTTCTCCTGAAGAAATAAAAAGTTTTCTGATAATTCTTGAACATTCAATGGATCAAAATCTTCTTGGTGCATAAGATTTTCTGATAGGCAAAGAGGCTCAGAGTCAAAAAGCTTATGGGGCTTCTCTTTCTCAAGGTGGCAGGTTATTACTGACTCTTTGGGGTTATCCAAACTTGAACTTAAAGTGGTCGGCTTAAAGTCAGCTTGGACTCCATTGAGTTCCATTAAGTCAAATATTTTTTGGTGACTGGGTAAATCCTCTGATTTGTCCAGATCGCTAAATATATTGTTGAAAGGGCTCTCAGGGCCACTAGTAACATGTAAGTCCTCTGGTAAGCTAGAATCTTTGGGGTCTGCACTGCTTTGGAAGAAATCCTCATCTGTACTGGATTCCTCGAATTCAAGGTTCCTGAGCGCTGTAAGCTGGGATGGCTCAGCACTGATTCTTTCTGGATTATCCATTTCAGTTGTGAGCAGTGCAGGCGGATAATCAAGCTCCAAGTTGCTGCCACTCTTTTCTTCTAATTGAATATAATAGTCGCTTCCCACAGAAAGGTTGTGGGCGTCAAAAACAGGAACCACTCCGGGGGCCCTCAGGGGGACATCCTGGCCACTGTCATCTTGTTTTCCGGGCCCAGGATCTGAAAGTGAACTCTCAAAAACTTCAACCGGAAAGAAGATGCTTGTGTAGGACAAGGCTTCATCTGGGGGGCCCCGACGGTGCTCATCAAAGTGGTCATGCTTAGCAGCCTCCCAGACATATTCAAAGCTCAGGCCCTGGCTTGTTTCTGTCACAGTGAGGACTTCCTCCATTTCACGACCAAGCCTATCCCTGGCAAAATGGTCGAGGATTGGGAATGCAGCATTATTTGAAGTGTCTCTGCTGTTCGTATTTGGCTTAAGAGCATTCCACTGTTGTTCAAAGTCACCTTCTGAGTCCCTCTGGCTTTGCATCCGCAGGTAAGTCAGCAGCCTATGCACGTCTTCAGCTGCGGGTCGCTTGTCTGGTGACAGCCAACAGAACTGTAAGACTTCGTACCTGAGCAGCACATGAAAGGTAATTAATGGAATGATAATAAAAGACTTTACAAGAACCCTAAAGCCGACTCAACACCTCAAAAGTTTCTACGTCTTAATCGCTGCCACCCACATTAAGGAGTTTAGCTCATGGTGAGATCACAGTGAAAGAGTACTCCCAGTCAAAAAGCTTATGGGCTTTTATTTCTCAAAGTCACAGGTAATTATTGACTCTCTGGGGTTACCCAAACTTGAACTTTAAGTGGTCAGTTTAAAGTCAGCTTGAGGCTGGGTGCAGTGGCTCAATCCTCTAATCCCAGCACTTTGGGAGGCCGGAGTGAGAGGATTGCCTGAGTCCAAGGGTTCGAGACCAGCCTGGGCAACTTGGCGAGACCTCTTCTCTACAATAAATCAAAAAATTAGCCAGGCGTGGTAGTGAACACCTCTAGTTCCAACTATTGGAAGGCTGAGGTGGAAAGATCACCTGAGTCCAGCAGGTCGAGGTTGCAGTGGCCGTGAGCATGCCACTGCACTCCAGCCTGGATAACAGAGTGAGACTCCAACTCAAAAAATAAACAGCCGGGCTCGGTGGCTCAGCCTGTAATCCCGCGCCTTTGGGAGGCTGAGGTGAGTAGATTGCCTGAGCCCGCGGGTTCGAGACCCGCCTGGGCAGGGAGACCTCATCTCTACAATAAATCAAAAAATTAGCTGGGCGTGGTAGCGCATGCCTGTAACTCGGGCTACTTGGAAGGCTGAGGCGGAAGGATCGCCGGAGCCCAGCAGGTCGAGGCTGCGGTGGCCGGGAGCGACCACTGCACTCCAGTCTGGGTGACAGAGTGAGACTCCAACTCAAAAAAAAATAAACAAATAAATAAATAAAGTCAGCTTGGACTCTGTTTAGTTCTATTAAGTCAAATACTTTTTGGTCACTGGGCAAAACTTCTGATTTGTCCAAATGATTAAATATATTGTTGAAAGGGTACTCAGGACCACTGGTAACATGTAAGTCCTCTGGTAAGCTAGAATCTTTGGGATCCACACTGCTTTAGAAGAAATACATTAAGAAAAATAATAATTTTTCTTAATGTATTTCACTAATTTTTTGTGTTTTCAGAACATCGCACAGTGTCTTCACAGTGAAGATGACAAAACAAAACAAACAGAACGTAAAGTGACCAACCATCTATCAGAATAAGGCTGCTCCAGCTGGGGTTTAGGAAGCTTTATGTCTCTCTCTCTAATAACTTGATTGAGAACATCTAGGTTGGAAAGGTTTGAATATGGCTGTGCAGCATTGTCAAAAAGCTCCCAGAGTGTCACGCCCAGGGACCTATAAGAAAACGAAAATGGTTATTTCTCTTTCTTTAAATGTCAAATTTTTAACACCCACATTTTTTATACAGTCAGTACTTTTAAGGACAAGATGTGTATTGAAAAGATTATTAATAAAATAGTTCTTTAATCTCAAACCAATAATCAACATCACAATTAATAGCAAAAAAAGAGGCATTTCCATTAAAACGAGGAAAACAAGAACACCTCCTCATATTTATTACTGAAATTCACTTACTCTAGATATTTTGGCCAATAAAAAAGTACAAAACTGAAATAACAGGCATAATTATGTGAAATAGGATAAGATGCCAGTCAACTTTAAAAACTCAAAAAATTATCTGAAAGACCATAAGAATGTTATAAGAGGCCAGGTGCGGTGGCTCAAGCCTGTACTCCCAGCACTTTGAGAGGTCACGGCAAGAGGACTGCCTAAGCTCAGGGGTTTGAGACCAGCCTGGGCACCTTGGTGAGACCTCAACTCTACAATAAATAAAAAAATAAGCCGGGCGTGGTAGCGTGTGGCTGTAGTTCCAACTATTGGAAGGCTGAGGTGGAAGGATCGCCTGAGTCCAATAGGTCAAGGCTGGGGTAGCCGTGAGCGTGCCACTGCACTCCAGCCTGGGTGACAGAGTGAGACTCCAACTCAAAAAAAAGGAGAATGTTTTAAGAGTTCAACTAAATGGCTGGAGACAAGATATTAATAAATAGCCTGAGTTCAGAGTATTTTTTAGGGGGTGGGGTGGGATGGGGTGGGGGGAAAAAAACCCTATTCACAACAGTAGTAAACACTGGAAAATATATCTTTACATGAGTAAAAAATTTTCCTGCCAGACCCACATATTTCTTATTTTAGTTATTCCTAAGTATTGTGGGGTTTGCTGCTATTATGAAGGGCTCTTCTCCCACTCTGGGACTGTCTGTGCATCAGGAAAGGCACCAGCCTGAGCCTCTGAGGCCTCCAGGGTTGCCTCTCTGCAGCAGGAATGCCCCTTTTGGTGCCCATCCAATTCTCTCTCATGCCTCAGTGCTCTGTCCCCATGGAAAGGGCCTCTGCTGCTCAGGTCAGATGAGCTATTTTTCATTTCTTCTACGTGGTCTCTGCATTCCCTTCCTACCTCTCATTGCCTCTGTCATGCACAAGTCTCCTATTTATTACGATGTTCCCAAACCTAGCTAGTCACCTGAGTCCTCTGAGAAGCTTTAAACAAACACAATGGTATTTAGGATCTACCCCCAAGGACTCTTAGTTGGTGGATCCAGGTATAGCTTGGGAAACTATTTTTAAAAAGCTCCCTTTTTAAAAGGGAGCCATCTCACCACAAAGACAGCCAAAGCAATAAATAAGCAACTACTTTTTTTTTTCTTTTTAGAGTGGGGATCTTACTTTGTCACCCAGGATGGAGGGCAGTAGCACAACATGGCTCACCACAGCCTTGGCCACCTGGTCTTATGTGTTTCTCCCACCTAAGCATCCTGAGTAGCTGGGACTACAGGCGTGTGCGACCATGCCCAGTTAATTTTCTGAATTTTTGTAGAGATGATGTCTTGCTATGTTGCCCAGGCTGGTCTTGAACTCCCTGGCCTCAAGCAATTCTCCAGCATTGGCCTCCCAAAGTGCTGGGGATTACAGGTATGAGTCATTGTGCTAGGCCAAACAACGACATTTTGACAAAAATAAGTAGAGGAAAACATCAGAGTACACCAAAGGAGTAACAGAAGCTCTGGTGAGCACAGAAACTGAAGACAGTCACATAGAGAACAGAAGAAGAAAATGCTTGGCATTCAACACCCCATCCCTTCCTCCAGGGAAAAGGTAAGCAAGAGGATCTCAGCAGCCCCTATTAACACCTTGGGCACTTATAGTCCTCACCACTAGGGTTCCCTATGGTCTTCAGGCCCTAAGGCCAGCTGAGGAAACTGCCCAGAATCCACACAGCTGTGCTTCCTCCAGAGAAGGAACGGACACTCTGCACCAATCCTCGTGTCCTGCATGGCTACTGTGCTATGCCATCTTGAAACTGGAATTCTTCCATCCCTGAGGCTAAGCTGCCACTGAACACCCCTGCTCAGTGACCAAATAGAAATTCTGCAGCTGAAGAATTCAACGAATGAAATAAAAACACAACAGAGAGCTTCAACTGAAGACCAGATCAAGCAGAAGAATCTCTGAATGTGAAATAGGTGGTTTGAGATTACTCAGTCAGAGAGAAAAAAATAGTAAGAAGAATAAGAATGAAAAAGAATGAAGAAAGCCTACATAGGATTTATGGCTTACCATCAAGTGAACAAATATATGTTAGGAGAATTACAGAAAGAGAAGAGATAGAAAAAGGCGTAGAAAACTTCTTAAAGGAAATACTAGCCAAGAACTTTCCAAGTCTTGGAAGAGACATGGATATCCAGATCCAGGACACTCAAAGGTCCTCAGATAGAGTCAACCCAAAAAAGGTCCTCTTGGAGGCACATTATATTCAAATGACCAAAAGACAAAGAGAAAATTCTAAAAACAGCAAGGAAAAAATGTCAGATCACATATAAGGAAATTCCCATTAGATTAACAGTGGACTTCTTAGCAGAAACCGTATGGGCCAGAAGAGAATGGGATGAGATAGTCAAAGTGATGAAAGAAAAAAAAGGTCCGTCAAGAATACAGTACTCAGCAAAGCTATCCTTTAGAAATGAAAGAGAAATAAAATAAAGTATTTCCCAGACAAGCAAAAACTGAGGGGATTCATCACCACTGGCCTTATAAAATGTGCTCAAGGAGTCCTACATCTGGAAGCAAAAGAATGATACCCACTATCATGAAAACATGCAAAAATATAAAACTCACTGGCAGAACAGACACAAAAGAGAAAGAGAAAGAAATCAAACCTTATCATTCATGTGGAATCTAAAAACGTAAGTAGTAAGTAGAACAGTGGTTACTAGAGGCTGGGAAAGGGTAGGAGAGATGGGGATAATGAGAGGTTGGATTATGAATACAAAATTATAGCTAGATAGGAGGAATAAGATCTAGTGTTCTACAGATTGTATAGTGACTATAATTAACAACCATTTATTTATATTTTTCAATAGCTAGAAGAGCAGATTTCAAGTGTTCCCAACACAAACAAATGATACAAGTTTGACATGATGAAAATACTATTTTCCTAATTTGACTATTACACATTGTAGACATATATCAAAATATCACACTGTATCCCATAAACATATACAATTATGTGTCAATTAAAAATAATAAAAGCAAAAAAAAAAACTTTTAAAAAATGGCAAGAAGAGAAAAAGAAAACAGAAAAAGGACAATAGCACAAAAAAGGTAACTATAAATTAAGATGGTTATGATAGAAATCGTTAGTCAAAGATTAATTTTTTTTGAGTTGGAGTCTCACTCTGTTGCCCAGACTGGAGTGCAGTGGCCGCACCCAGCCACTGCAGCCTCAACCTGCTTGGCTCCGGCGATCCTTCCGCCTCAGCCTTCCGAGTAGCCGGAAATACAGGCACGCGCTACCACGCCTGGCTGATTTTTTTATTTATTGTAGAGATGAGGTCTTGCCAAGTTGCCCAGGCGGGTCTTGAACCCACGGGCTCAGGCAATCCACTCATCTCGGCCTCCCAAAGCGCGGGATTACAGGCTGAGCCACTGAGCTCGGCTAGTCAAAGATTTAGATACATCTTTTTAGTTTCCATTAACTGACCCCCTATAAATCAAAGTATTACGTAGTAGTCCAAACCCCTCTCTGTGTTCTCCTTCACTTCAATAAATATGTATTAAACATCTATTATATGCCAGACATATATGCCTCTGTGGGAGGCACAGAATATAAAACAGACTTTGTTTCTGTTTTCATAAAAGAAAAAGGATAAGAAAGGCAATATTCAAGAAGCTAATTATATCATCACAATTGTGATAAGAGCAATGATGTCTCTAATTGTCTTTTTCATACCTTCAGGCACTCTTTTGATCCTACATCTTATACAATTACTGTCCTTTAAGAAAGTACTCAAAGAGGCCAGGTGCAATGGCTCACAACTGTAATCCCAGCATTTTGGAAGGCTGAGGTGAGAGGATAATTTGAGCCCAGGAGTTTGAGGCCAGCCTGGGCAGCATAGTGAGACCTTGTCGCTACAAAAAAATTAGCTAGGCCTTGTGGCACATGCCTGTAGTCCCAGCTACTTGGGAGGCTGAGGTGGAAGGATCACAGGAGCCCAGGAGGTTGAGGCTGTGGTGAGATGTGATCCTGCCACTGCACTCCAGCCTGGGTGACAGAGAGCCAACTCAAAAAAAAAAAAGACAAAAGACAAAAGTACTATTCAGAGAAAGAAGCTACATGAAAGCCTAATAAAATCATAAACCAATACATACCAGATATTACTATATTTAGTTTGATCTGCAGTTAGTAATCTGTCTTGAAAGCTGGTTACTAATTCTGGAGCAGTCCATCGCAGAGGGAAAACTTTTTTATCATCTGCTTCAATATAATCCTCCTGTTTTGTTAGAAAGCATACAGAATTTTGAATCGAACTATACTTTTAGTGAGCTCACTGATTTAGTTCCAGGGCATTTTCAGAAAACATATACCCAACCCACAAAACATATCAGAAAAAAAAAGTGAGTATGAAGAGAGACTTTCTGGGCAGAAAGTGGGTAAGGAGTTTCTGTGAAGCCTCCTGGGCTACCTGAGCTGGTCTCTTGAGCCATAAACACTTGCTAAGTCATCCTTCCTGGAAAAGGAAGGTACACTGTGTCTGATACACACAACATAGACTCTGAGCAAAAAATCTTTTAAAATACACTGGGCCTCATGCACTGAATAGTGATGCAGGTTAATGAATAAGATTGTAGGCTTTAGAATCTGACAAGCTGAGTTGGAAGCCCTCATTCTACCATCTACCAGGTATGTGACTGTGGACAAGCAACAAATACGTAAAGTCTTTTTCCTTATCTGCAAAATGAGGAAAACACAAACCTACCTACTACCTTTGTGATAAGGATTAAATGGGATAATGCAGGCAAGTACTTCTAAGTGCCTGGTATACACAAGAGAAACTATGTAGAGAAATAACCAACTTATATTTGTATAATATTTTTTGAAAAGTTGGTCCTCACAAGAGCTCCCTATATAGAACAGATATTATCTGTATGTTGCTGCTTAGAAAATGGAGGCCAAGGGGCTTATCCAAGGTCTTAGATGACGGCATGGAGCTGGGTCAATCCCAATCTCTTCCCCCACAGCATGCTACCTAATTCAGTTTGGCTACACAAACGAAAAATCTCACTGATGACTTCACTTATGTTCTTTGGGATATATTTATGACAGAGTTAAAAATACCTAAATTCCAAGCTTAGTGAATGTAAGCTGAAATGTTACTAAACACATAATAGAGAAACATTTATATGACATGTATATTTTATTACGCAGGTAATAATTATTACTGCTCATATGTTCACTCTAAAATTTATTATGTACTATCAGACTAGATCAATTACACTGTATATAAATCTTTTTAAACAAAGCATTTGGAAAGCTGTCACAAAACCCTGGGCATAAAGCCACTGATTGAGACAAACCACACACCAGAAGCCAATATCACTGCTAAAATGGCTGGAACAGACCCCTCTCCAGAAAAGCATCACATCCAAAATTCTTACCCCCCTTCCAAAAATAGAGAGGCATTTGTGATATTATAACTTCACAATTGAAGTTAAATCAGATTAAAGAGACAACACTTAAACCTTTGGCTTACCTTGTACCTGCTGAATCCTATTCCATAATCTCCCACCTTCACATTTAAGTCAGAGGTAAGAAAACAATTCCGCAGGGCTAAATCACTGAAAACAGAATGAGTGAAGTCAACAAAACAAGAAGAATCAACAACTAGAACAATGTGTGAAACTGCTATGGGAAAAGGCTTTCTCTAGGCATCAGAGTAGTATATTGAGCCCTCTACTTAATAATTAATGTTTTAAAATTCTTTTTTACAGAAGTATTATATATCATGTCATCAATTACTAAATGATGGTGATAATCACATTTTTTGGCAAGGACCTATGAATACGAAGGTTAAATACTGAATATATCTGTACCATGTCCTACATCAAAATCAGATTTATGGCTTGTTTCCTAGTATTTTAAGAATGATCAAGAAAGAGTTCTAAAATGCTATTAGCTAAATTGTCTGATTTTTTTTTTTACAACCTGTGTTACCTGAGTCACAGTCTAGTAAGTCTATTTGCTATAAGTAAAAACTAATAAAGTTACAACTTTAAGCACACTAAAAACAATCTACATTATTTAAAGGTTTGTTTTTTCCACCCTTTTACAAAGACATGCAAGCATTATAATCAGGCCCTTTCCAAATTACTCTCATGTCTTCCAAACTCCATCTTTCCACAAGGGAGGTAAAGAGCATGTTTTCAAGACTTACTTTAAACCATTTACTTGTATATTTTAAGAACAAGTTAATTTTCAGAAAGACATATTTGACAAGTAAAAACTACTCTTTCTAAATGAACAGACAACAGATTAAATTCACTGACTTTTGACTTTAGCTATTTGAGTTTTTTTGTTTGTTTGAGTCCAGGTCTCATTCTGTTGCCCAGGTTGGAGTACAGTAGCAGAATCATGGCTCACTGCAACCTTGACCTCCTGGATGCAGGTGATTCTTCTACCTCAGTCTCCTGAATGGATGAGACCACACCCAGCTAACTTCTTGATTTTTTCTGTAGAGATGAGTTCTCTTTTGAGTTGGAGTCTCACTCTGTTGCTCAGGCTGGAGTGCAGTGATACGGTCATGGCCACCGCAGCCTTGACCTGCTGGGCTCAGGTGATCCTTCTGCCTCAGTCTTCCAAGGAACTGGAACCACAGGTATGCACCACCATGCCCAGCTGATTTTTTGTAGAGACAAGGTCTTGCCATGTTGCTCAGGTTGGTCTTGAACCCCTGGGCTCAAGCAATCCTCTTGCCTCAGCCTCCCAAAGTGCTGGGATTAACAGGTGTGAGCCATTTATACCCAACCCCTTAGAGTCTTTTTAATTATCAACTGGCATATGAATAAAAAAGGTGCAAAATTAAAATAGAAAAAGAAAACTATACTATTGTTTTAAGTCATAAACTAAAGATAGCAGAAACCAGATTTCTATAGTCCAAAACCAAAAATGTTCGTATTTATAAAATTGTAAAAGACCAAAACTTAATTTATATTTTCAAAGATTTAATTTCCAAAGCTCACATGTCTGAAATATAATAAGAATAATAAAGATGATGATGACAATAGCTGACACTGATATAATTCAATATAAGTTTGGTACATAACACTGATTCAATTATATAATAATGGCTAATATTCACAAGACATTTACTTTACATGAGACACTTCTCTAAGCACTTTACATTTTCTCTAAGTATTTAATTTTCACAACAAACCCATGAGGTGGATACTATTATTTTCCTCATTACTACATAAGGAAACTGAGGCAGAGAGAATTGAAGTAATTTTGCTAGGGTCACAAAGCTAGCAAGTTATTGTTCAGTAATATTTTCACACTTTCACCATCAATAACCCTCAGTGACAATACCATAACAGGTGCAGACTATACCACGCATATGACTGGTGCTGATTCAAATTCCAGACAGAAACTTTACATTACTCACTACATTCTTTATGTTTACAAGTGGTTCTCATGGTGCTCCATCCAAAAGCCTAGGACCATGGAAGTGTCTAGGAAAAAACCTTGGAACACCCAACTCCACTGTTACAAACAATATAGAATCTTCCAACCATAAGAAAATCGCTCCCTCCTGCTACAGGGAGGTAGGGAAGGAGGGAAAGAAAGGAGTAACATCATCTGAGGGCAGAAAAGTGAACATGCTGTAAGTAAGGGTGCTTCATCTACTGGGCCAACAGCTACAACTGTACAGCTACGGTTGTTGCCAACAAACGGTAAGCCACTGAGCACCACTGATGAGCATGTCTAGGGTCTATGAACAAATTTTGCTACACCTTCCCAAATCTCCCTTCTAAGACCAGAACTAGGAGCTGGATGCCGCATCCCAGCAGGGCATGTGTGTCCTTTCTAGGCCTGGGCAGCAACCCAAGCCGGGATGGGGCGACTTAGAGCTCAGGCCCACTCGGGCACCTCCTGCTCGGCTTCCTCCCTCCTTACAAATGTTCAGTGTAGGTCTTTCGATACATGAAATGTGAAGGCTTGATAGGAGATGAACAACTGTACATGCCTCTGGCTCCTACTATAAAACTGTAATGCAATCTCACTGGCACCCAGGGAGAGAATGCCTCTCATTACCTGAAGTCCAGATGTAATGAGAAAGATACAGATGATATCTGTATGATGGGGCATTTCTTATAAACCTGCCACCATCTCCATCCCAAGCACTCAGGCACATGCACAGTGGGAAGGGTGCTGGGTAGTCAGGAGGCCCAGAGCTAGTCTAGGCTCCGCTGCTCTAGAACCATGTGACGCTGGTCAAGTCATGCATGGGGGGGGCCTCAACTTTCTCACTAAATGGGGATGCACCTGAAGTAGCTAACGCACAAGGTCATTATAAGGGTAAAATAAAAACACATGAAATGTTCTGAAAACATTAAAGTGCTATACAGATTCAAAGCAGTGATATACAGTTTGGTTCAAAGTTGGTAGAAATAAATATTCTCTGAAACCCAATAACATGCAAAGCCAAAGAAGAGGAAAACATACAGGTGTAACTTCTTAGCAACAGAGGTAACTCTTGACGTCAATGGCTGCTTTTGTCAGGAAATACAAACACGCATCCAGTATATTCTCCCGTTGAGTTGAAAAACAGGTCTAGTGATGAGGCTGCCAAATGCTCAGCCCTGCACAGCTCTTGGAAAGCTCAGGCTTGGTCACCATCGCTTGGCAGCACTTGCTGGGACTCAGCTGACAGTAACCGTGCAGGACACAAGGCCCATGAGTGGATCTGATGGACGCAGGAACCAGGAGCCTGCGGCTCTAAGGCACTCCCTTTGTGATTCGCAAGGAAGCACCATGGCTTGTTTTAAACCCACACTAGGACTAGAGTTTGCCCATCTTCAGAAGGGTTCTCCAATGCCAAAAGCTCGATGTGGCGGGAGCCATTTTCAAAATAAGCCACACCTCTATCTATGTGACCTGCTTATGCTCTCCCAAGTAACCTGACAAAAGTGTTAATCAAGAGAATAACAAACAGGAAGCAAAATAACTAAAGGTTACTGAATATTCTTCTAGGAACTTGGCATATTTTCTCTTATTTAATCTTGACAACAGCACTTCAGGGTTTTAAAGATGATCCCCATTTTATAGCAGAGATATAAGCTCAGAAGGATTAAGTACCAAGGCTTATTCTGGTAAAGCTGATGACAAGTGAATTAAAACTTCAGCCTAAAGCCTCTGTCATTAAGCCACTCTGCCTTTGGCAGCCACAGAGGTTTGAGGTTCTGTAGAGACTCTGTGCCTATCACCCTAAGACGGGAAGCAAGAGTAAAAGGAGAGGATTAAATTTAAAGGATTCTGATGTGACATACAGAGGCAACTTCTTTAGAGTTTTGATAGTTTTTGCCCTGCTTATTAGGTCAGTCCTTGCTAACTGAGCTACATTTACGGAACACCTAGTGTTTATCAGGCACCTGCTAGGCTTTGGGTATACAGAGAATTCTTCCACTATGAAATTCTAATTAGATCCCGAGGAAGATGCCTCTAGCTGGAATGGGCTCTACCCAGCTTTTGAGGGCTGGAGATAAAAGAGAAATCAAGTCTTCAGTTCTAGGTTTTCTCAGGTTTGCAGCAAGAGCAGATAATGAGCTGGACAATCAGGCCTACACAGGTCTCAACTTCTGGCTCTGGCTTATCATTCCATGACTAAAAAACTGGACAAAACAGATAAGGAAGAAGTCTTCAGGTATTGGACAAAGGGCAGCCTAGATCCTAGAAAGAGGAGATACCAGAGGTAAGCTTCACATTCCCTCGACTTTTTGGTTAGGGCCACTTTCCTAAACATGGGACAGAGATATGGAGCTCCAAAAGCAACAGTCTCTTTGGGTGGTAGAAACAGGGAGCAGAGCCTGAGGCTACTCAAGAGGCTGAGTTTGCAGGCAGGGTAGAGAGGGCTGCTCTGACCTACAGCAGGGGCTCTTCTAGGCCTGCCTTCACAAGGTCTACAACCAAGATTGAGCTAAACTGCCAAGTGACTGCCTTCCAGGACAAGATGGCACTCTTCAGGTGGTTCTCACATTTGAGTGAGTATCAGAATCACTTGGAGGACTCTTGAGACTAAATGCAGTAGGTATAGATGGGGTCAGAGAATACATATTTCCTGTCTTTCTCTCTCTTGTTTTAGGGACAGGTTCTTGCTCTGTCACCCACATTGGAGTGCAGTGGTATGATCATAGCTCACCGCAGTCCTCGAACTCCTGGGCTCAAGTGAGCCTCCCTTCAATTTCGAGTAGCTGCGCCTACAGGTGTGCACCACACTCTGTCAATTTTTTTTTTTGAGTCAGAGTCTCACTTTGTCGCCCATGCTGGAGTGCAGTGGCACACTCACGGCCACCACAGCCTCAACCTGCTGGGCTCAGGTGATCCTTCCACCTCAGCCTTCCAAGTAGCTGGAACTACAGGTATGCGCCATCATGCCCGGGTAATTTTTTGATTTATTGTAGAGATAAGGTTTTGCCAAGTTGCCCAGGCTGGTCTTGAACCTGCGGGTTCAGGCAATCCTCTCACCTTGGCCTCCCAAAGTGCTGGGATTGTAGGCATGAGCCACCGCATCCAATCTCCACTAATTTTTATTTGTAGAAATAGGATCTTGCCAAGCGCGGTG